GCCCACCAGCCAGGGCCCTTAGTCGGTCTTTAGTTAAAAACTGAAAAGATAGTCCGGGGGCCTCAGGAGGCTTATGTCCATGTCCATTGAATCCTCCATGGGGTGGTGGCATGCAATTAGGTGGGAGAAAAGGCGGACAGACAGATAGCAACAACCACTTTTCTGCAGAATAGATGTGCAGGACAGAATCGCACCAGGGAAAAGCAGCACCACTCTGTTGTCTTTTTGATAATAGTCATTCTAACAGGTATGAGGTGTGATTTCATGGTTTTGATTTGTATTTCTCTGTAGAATGATGTGGAGCATCTTTCCATGTGTCTGTTGGCCATCTGTTTATCATCTTTGGAGAACTGTCTATTCAGGTCCTCTGCCCATTTTAAATTGGATTCTTTGTGTTTTTGATGTTAAATTGAGTTTTTTATATATTTTGGATATTAATCCCTTATTAGACATATCATTTGAAAATTATCTTCTCCCATTCAGTAGGTTGTCTTTTGGTTTTGTTGGGTTTTTTTGTTCTGTCAAACCTTTTTAGTTTAATGTAGTCCCATTTGTTTATTTTTGCTGCTGTTTGCCTAAGGAGACATATCCAAAAAAATATTGCTAACACTATATCCAAAAAAAATATTGCTAAGACTGATGCCAAAGAGTTTATTGCTTATGCTTTTTTCTAGGAGTTTTATAGTTTTGGGTCTTACATGTAAGTCTTTAATCTATTTTGAGTTTATTTTTTACATACATAGTGTAAAAAGTGGTCTGGTTTTCAATTTTTGTAAGTATCTATTCAGTTTTCCAACATCATTTATTGAAGAGACTGTCATTTCCCCATAGTATATTCCCCTTTGTCATAGATTAATTGGCCATATAGGTGTGAATTTATTTCTGGGCTCTCTGTTATATTCCATTGACCTATGTATCTGTTCTTGTGCCAGTACATACTATTTTGATTATTGTGGCTTTGTAGTATAATTTAAAATCAAGGAGCATGATATCTCTAATTTTGTTTTCTTCCTCGAGATTTCTTTGGCTATTCAGGGTCTTTGTGATATAAAATTTAATATTATTTGTTCTAGTTCTATGAAAAATGCATTGGTATTTTAAAAATATATTGATATCAGAGAGGGAGAGGGAGAGAGAGATAGAAACATCAGTGATGAGAGAGATTCATCAATTGGCTGCCTCCTGCATGCCCCCACTAGGGATTTAGCCCACAACCCAGGCATATGCCCTGACTGGGAATTGAACCCTGACCTCCTGATTCATAGGTCAGCATGCAACCACTGAGCCACACCAGCCAGGCAATTTATTTTTTAAAGAACCAGCTCTTAGTTTCATTAATCTTGCTGCTGTTTTTTAAGTCTCTGTTTTATTTATTTCCACTCTGGTCTTCATTATTTTCTTTCTCCCACTTTGTCTTTGTTTGCTCTTATTTTTCTAGGTCCTTCAGATGTAAGGTTAGATTGTTTGAGATTTTTCTTGTTTCTTGAGGTACGCCTGTATCAGTATAAACTTTCTTCTTAGAACTGCCTTTGCTATATTACATAGATTTTGGAATGTGTGTTTCCATTTTAATTTGTCTCAAGATATATTTTTAATTCCTCTTTAATTTCTTTTTATACTCATTGGTGGTTTAATGGCATTTTTAAAAATATTTTTTTATTGAATTCAGAGAGGAAAGGAGAGGGAGAGAGAGATAGACACATCAGTGATGAGAAAGAATCATTGATCAGCTGCCTCCTGCATGTCCCCTACTGGGGACCAGCCTGCAACCCGGGCATGTGCCCCCACCGGGAATTGAACTGTCACCCCTGGTTCATAGGTCGACACTCAACCACTGAGCCACACCAGCCAGGCTAATAGCATGTTTTTTAGCCTCCATGTGTTTATGTGTTTTTTCCAGTTTTTGTCTTATAATTGTTTTCTAGATCCATAGCATTATGGTAGAAAACAGTG